ATAATAATTTTTAATTATTATGATTTAATGATCAGGCTGTGATTGGGAGGCACATTGTTTCTTCTTCCTTCTCCAACTCTGAACTATGTAAACATGGAAAGCTCTTGAACTGATTTTGTTTCTCAGCCCTCACTTAAATCAGTTCTTCTGATTTTCATTGTTACATTTGGACAGTGAGGAGGGAAGGGGCTCTGTTCCTTTATGAAAAGAAACAAATTACTCATGAGCTGAATTGATATTATGTAGTGTAAATAGAACATTATGCAAGATCAAAATATTTTTGTAGTCTTCAGTGAAATGTGTAGAAATAGGTTAAAAAAATAAGAAAGTACATGGGAAGGCATATAGCCCTGTCAGTTCATTGCATGACTTTGAGTAAATGCTAAGAAAAAAATGATGTTTTAAGGGGATGAGTAGCTGGATGTGTTGTTCTCTGACGTTTCCCTGTTGTCCTGGGTCTTCCCACTGTTGATGTGACAAATGTGACACATTTCTATTACTGTGGTTATCAGGGCATTGGCATCCATTTGAGAGAAGAAATGATCAGTGGCAGCATTGCAGCCCAGATGAGACTGGGTGGGCAGGCTGGGACGCAGGCACCTGAATTGGAAAGAATTATAAGGGCCAGATACATTTTAAATTATATCACTGCAAAAATGAAACCACCTCTGTGGCTGGCAGCAGAAGGTAACAATGACACAGGTGAAACCTGATTCAGCATTTCTCTGTGAGTTGTGCTCTGCTCTTTGCCGTCCTGGTGTTCAGATGAGGTCCCGAAGCAGTCGCTGGCACGGGACAGCAGAAGCTCAGGCGGTGACTCCTGGATCATCCCAGCACTGCAGCCCCGTCCCAGCCGCGCTGTCCTGCCCCGGCCGTGGCTGCAGTCGGGGTGGAGCTTTCCCCAGGCTCTGCTGCTTCCTGGGACAGCGCCTTGCAGAGCCGAGGGTGGGGCACGTCCATAGATTTGTCCTGCTGGCTTTGGAGCTTGAGTGATTATTTCGTTTTTGTCACCCACAGTATCTCATGAGGACTTTCACAGTTTGTGCACTGTGTGGAAAAATACTTTAATTAAGTTCTGAACTCTGCTGCTTCATTTGACACTGCTCTGCTTTTTGAACTGGAAGAAGTGAATAGCAACAGTTCCCTGTGCACCTTCTGTCAGTTATCCCCTCTCCACACTTTCAGCCTTCCTGGTACAGAAGTCCCGTCTTGGTTAACAATCAATCACATTTAAGTCCTTATTCAGTCCTTGCTATGTTCTCTCTCTCTACTTTCTCCCTGTTCTTATGCTGTTCAGTCCTTTTTGGCCAAGGGGAAAACTGGCACATGGGGTTCATTGGGAATTTTATGCAGTACTGTGGGTAATGGTGTCTTCCCTTTTCCCCCAAGACAATATTCTGTGTGATGTGGGGTGGTCTCTGACATATGGTGGCTGAGCACTGAGTTTTATGGTAAGACCTCTGACATTCCAGAGTTCCACTCAGTATGGCACTAGCAAGGGAGGAGATGATGATTTTTTGTGTGAGGTGAGGATTGTTCATCCCTCATGGAATGCCACACAGGTGAACTGAACACTGCTCATCTCCAGTTCTGCCAGTTGTGCTTGTGGAGCTTGGGTCCATCTCTAGCTCTTTATTACTCTAAGTAGCCTGAGTGGCCTTATAAATTTTGGGGTTTCTCTAAACTATGAGCTTTTTTGGATTATTTAAGAATACTTGAAATGGGAAAGATTCCAACAGAGATCCCTTCAGAGCTTGCTGCTCAATCTGTCCTCACTAAGGGAAATGGCTCTTTTATTTCACATCCCTTTGCTGATTATTTATCTGTGCAAACACCTTCCCACTTTATCACAGCCAAGTGCATTTTCTTCAAGAGCAATTGACAGGGGCTGTTTGAGAAGATAGTTTGTGAAACCTCCTGATTTGTATCAATTGGATCTTCTTTGTTCACATAGCAAGGAGCTGCTTTAGGTGGAGCACAGGAGGAATCAGAGGTGTGCAAAGATGCATTGGCTTAACAGGTCCTGTTTATCTTTTGATGCAGTTTCTCTTCTACTGGTGACTTGCAATGCAGCTGTTTATATTACACTGTGTCGGGGCATATCCATGGGCAAGGAAAAATCTGTCATCTTCTGGATCCTTGACTTTTAAAACTATTTTTCCAAGGCCATCTCTTCTTATATGTTGTACTCCACAATTCCTTCCTATGTTCTGGTACAGCATGAGAGTCACTGTCTGTGTGAACTGGTTTGTGCCGTTGTTACTGATAAATTCCAGAGGTGAAGAGGGAAGAATTTCCTTTGCTGTGGTCCAGTTTAAGTATTACAGATAAGGGACTTCAGTCTTGGAGATAATTCCTGGATCACATGGCATGTAGTGCTTTTTCAAAGCTTTCCTCTTTAGCAAATGTTGGCTTTAACTGCTGGCTGAAATGACTTTGTGACGGGAACTACGACCTCCTTATAGAGCTGAATGATGGCAAGGGGCTTCATATCTGAAAATGGATATTAAATATTTCAGCAGTGTGTCCTGAGTCCAAGAGGGATCAGTCAGATCTGTAAACCGGTGGGTAAAAGCTTTGCTTTGTGCCTGTTTTGATGATGTGTTACTTGTGTGTTCTGGTGACCAAGGACATGGATCTTATAAGAAATGGTGGAACCTTACAGACTGATGGACAGTTTGTAGGTGATCATGTTGGGTAAGGAATTTCTGTGTGGAAAGGAAAGAAATCAGTTGTCAGAGTCCTCTCTGTAAATGGCTTTCTTCAGAATAGTTGAATTACTCTGTATTTCTCGTTTATATTTGCAATCATATTTTTCAAATAATGCTGCTAAGAAGAACTATGTACCTAAAAGAGACTCTATAAATAAGATTGTCTTGTATAATGCATTTTTAGCTTAACAAATGAGTAACATCCATAAATTTTTTGGAAGTAACTGTTGGAATAATAAATCAGACTATAAAATAACCTTAAATTTCTGTGATTCTGTCGTAATCAGGCATTGTTTTTACCATCATTTTTTATTTCAGAAATGTTAAATTTTGTTCTCGTTATACGTTTAGCAAGACAGTTTGGTCTATTGGATCAGTTTACTTGGATTCTTTAATTTTTCCTGACTTTGATTTAGTGTGGCTGGAAAATAATTTACTCTTGAGATTTGGCTTCCACTGTTTTGATAATATCTATATTGCTATTCACCGATCCTAGGGATTGATTATAAAAATTGTCAAACAGAAGAGACTAACATAATTTATTGATGGTTACAAAAGGAATTAGATTCCATACTGTTGTATTGAGAATGAAGGGGGAGCATTACTTTTGTATAGAATTAATTTTCTAATTGAGTATGATCACCAAGATTGTATCTAGAGCTGATGGAATCGGTTAATTTCTGTTTTGTAAGTTTTGCTTATTTATTCCTTTTTTGAGTGAAGTAGACCTAAGAAAAGAGCTTTGTTTATCTTATGAACGGAGTGCTCTGAATTCTGAAGAACTGGTTACATATTGTAGAGTCCTTGTATCAGAAGTTCTTTGTGTGTCCAGTCGAATCCTTTTAAAAATGGACAGTTTGTATCTGTAAACTAACACATCTATTAGAATTACTTCCTGTAATACTAACTTTATTAAAGTCACCATTCCTGACTATATTTTAAAAAAAGGTTTCTATCAGCAATTGAAAAAAACCCCTGTTACTGTCTTTTCCTGGTACCTTTCCTTTAGCTTTTATTCCAGACTCACCTGTATTATTACATAATAGGCAGATATTTGATAGCCAAAGGACTGGTAATTTCTTTCCCAGCTGCATCCTTGATTCAGTAGCTTTAATATAATAAATAATTGTCATAGGAAGTCAGCTGCTGTTTGTTAATTCAGAGCACCTGATGCAATGTTAGCATACAATAATACTTTTCAGAGTTACTGTTTCTTGTTGGGCTTGGCTGAGTAAGACCAGCCAAGTTGTTTTTCCTCCATGATTTAACTTTTCTATTGTCTACAAGCACTAACACCCCCATGTCCCATGACTGGTGTCTCTGTCATGAGATCAGTGTTCATGAACATGTTCAGAACAGATGAAAATGGTCTGGAAAGTGGCTTTTAATATTACCATGCCCGTATTAATTCTTAAAATTAATAATGTGTCTGAAATTACTCCCATAAATGAATATCTAATTACTGTATTAACACTTCTCCATTTTGTTTTCTGGTGTTTTCAAAGGTAGCTTTATACTCAAGCGGTTTGGAATTCCCCTTTTTGAGACATATGAATTTTTTAGTGGTTTTGTCATTTTGAACTAAAAAAATCACATTTTAATACAGGACTTTGTTGTATTTTTCAAATCAACTTGTATGTTCTTAATTTGATAAAATTGCAAATTAGAAAAGAGAAAACATTTTCTGTATTTAAAGGATCCAGCTATGTAAAATACTGAAGAGGAAAAAAAAGAAGGAAAAGCCATTGGAGGTTTGATTATGTCTTGCTAGTTCATCATTTCAGTTGTCATTGTTCCTGTACTTTGGGAGAGGCTTTAAGTAGTTTTTCTTTGGTTGCAATCCATATTTATGATTTCCTCATGGGTGAAGAATGGATCCAGAATGCTGATGAGCTTAGTTTTTGTTGGATTATGCTGTCTGCATTATTCCAGTCTGGAGCCAGTTGTTGTGTTTCTCCTGCCTCTGATGTAAACAAGAATTTAAAGCCTCATTTAACTGACGGTGACTTCAGCTGGGCCATAAGAGCTGAGAGAGCAGTTTAGGTTTGTTGATGAAATTCTGAGTTCTTAACTCTTGGGATTAAATCCTGCATTGAGTCTCACTGTGGAAGTGCAAGCATTTGATGCCATTTGGTTCCCTTTAGATCTTTTTTTCAGTCTTTCTTGTATTGGCCTCATGTGGGTGTAGTTTGTTCTTTCTTTCCCTTGCCCATTATGAAGTGTGTGCAAAGGGTTAAAATGCAGTTTTGTTTTTGTGGAAGTTTTGTCTCTGTGTTTCTCATTTCTTAGGAATTCAAGGTTCAAGAGACCTACCTCATGGTACATGGTGCAGGTGGGAGTCTTGGGTTCCGTGGTGTTCTTCCCCTGGACTTCAGTCTGTCTACTTCATGTGCAGTCAGAAGGGACTCATGGCTTTGGCATGGGAGGATCTTTAGGGAGGAGCTGGACTCAGCTGGTTGGAGCATGGTGCTGGGAACTCCAGGGCTGTGGGTTTGATCCCTCTATAGGCCATTCACTTGAGCTGGACTCAGTGATCCTGGTGTGATCCTTCTAACTCAGAATATTCTGTGAAATGTGCCTCCATCATATGGGGATATCTTGACCACAGCTGGAGTGTTTGCATTCCAAGGGGAGTGAATTTTCTCTTGAATTGGAGAAAAGGGTGGTGCCCACTGGGGGTCACTGTTTCAGCTCGTGGAATTCCACTTGTAATGCTGGGGGTGTGGAGGTGACATACAGGGGAGCTCTCCTGGGTGTGTGTTTACCTGGAGCCAGGTACGGGAGTGCTTGCGTTAAATCTGTGCCTGGGGGAGATAGGACCTGACCTGCAATTCACCCTTTGTTCTGACATCTCATGTTTGAGGGAACTACCCATGCCCATGTCCCTGTTGTATTTTGATAGATATCGCTGAAAAATTTATCATTATACACTGTGAATTTTTAAAACTTCTTTTAAAAATTGAGTTTCATTTATTATTTTTATTTATTGTATTAATATTTTCTGAAACATTAAGATGGGTTATTTTCCCTGGTTAATGAAAATTAAAGATACCTGGAAAAGATGTGTTATCATGTTAGATAGTGCTTATGAAAAGTACAGATTCTTATGGATTGTTTCATATGTCTGCTTAAATATAATCTATGGTATTATAGGATTTTTGCAGTCTATTAAATGCACAGATGATATTTGAAATAGTTTCAACTTGGAGAAAAGTAATTGCTGGAGTTGATTTCCTGTTTTAATCTCTGCAATTTGGGCAGCCTGTTCCATTGATGGGTTGTGGAGTAGAGTAGGAATTGTGAGACAAGGAAATCTTTGTATGCAATATAAATCAGGGGTTGCTGATTAAAGTGATTACAAACCTTGCTTAATTTAAAAAAATCTTTTTAAAAGCTTAGCTTTTATGGTGTTGTGGAGCTTAATTTCCGATAAGGGCCGGAATAAACACACCTGATCAGGAAAAGTTGGCTGACAGGTTTTCTGGGCAGCTATGTCAGAGCTATTTTTATGCAGGGAGTGAGCTAAGGGCTATGCTTAGAAGAAAATTCACACAAAGATCCAAGCCTCATATGTCTCTCTCTCTTTTTCCCCACCCTCTAGTGATATGCAGCTTCCGAGGAACTGTTCCGCAAGGCTTGGTCCTGGAACTAGGTGAAACTGTCCAGATCCTGGAGAAATGTGAAGGTAAGTGTGATGTCCAAGCAGGAACCCCATTTTCTATGTAAGGATGTACCAGTATCTTAATCTAGCAGATTTTAATAAGTTCTTTGGAAATCATGATGCATCAAATCAAAGCACTTGAATAAAACCTACTCTGACCCACTTTCCGTAGGAAAGGCTGAGTGCTCTTGGCACTAATCCAGTCTGATAGGGGGTCAGTGTGTTTGAAGTTAACCATCTGTCCAGAAAATCTTGAACCCTGACCTGATTGTTGTATTGTAACTGGGTCTTACACTGAATTTTCATCATGTAAAGTATAGAATCGGTATCTTTTTTTATTATATTTTCTCAGTGTGACAGTTATGCATTTCTATTAAGTGTATCAGTTTAATTACTTAGAAACACCTGAACAGGTGGAAAATACTAGTTATTAAATAGATTAACACTATCAGAAAAAAAAGTAAAAAATATGGGTTTAGAGGAGGTTTTTTTACATTTATCTTGATATGTGTTTTTGTACCTAAAGCAAAATGCCATTGTAAATTTTATAGTTCTTAGATGAATGGAGATGTCTGTGTGTGAATAAATCGAATGTCCTAATGCTCTGCTTTATTCACAATGAAGAATGTGATTGAAGCTGTATGTAAAAGGAGAATTATTCTAATGTTCAAGCCAGTGTTGTAAAATGTGTCTGGTGAGAAGTAGGTTGACAAGATACAGTAAGAGTACATGTTTCACTGTAGTCTGAGGTGGAATAATGTAACCTTATTCCTGAAGTGTTGAACAAATTCAAAACCCAGATCCACAAATTTGAATTCCAAATTAACATTCCACAAAGCTGTAGATGTCGTTTTTGTTTGTTCAGGTTAAAGTAATTTTTCATCTCCAGTGTTAATGTTGCTCCCCAGACCTTCTGCATGCTTGTCAGCAGGCTTTGCTTTGCCTCTCTCACGCCTAGAATTGTCTTTTGCTCTAGATGCTTTTTCTTGTACTCAGGTGTTTGTTTTCCCACTGACTTAACTCATCACAAAAAAGTCACCTTCTCTATGCTAATTTTTCTAGTAATGTACGTTTGTAAAAATTCTGTTGAATGAGAGCTTTGCAGTGCAGTGGAGAAAATTACCCACAAAGAAGCTTGCTGTAAACAATCCCATGCTTTTTTAAAAACCACAAGTGCTGTGATGGGCTAAGCTGTGCTGGCACACTGAGGGCAGATTGTAATTATTCTACCAGGTCTTGTAAATTAGAACATGGTGCAAGCTCAGGAAAAAAGTATCCCTTTGCTTAGGATGGGATAAATCTAAGGGAATTAAACACTGTATGTTGCTGAAAGCAGTCGTGGTGTTTTCCAACCATTTCTGGGAAATAAAAGCACAGTCTCCAAGGATCGGGTTTTTTTGTGAAAAGGAAGTGGATAATCCAACTTGTCTTTACAGTGTTAAAATAACTAGGCTTTGAATATTTCCTTTGCTGGTAGTTTTGAGGATGATTCCTCAAAAGCATTCATGCCAGAGGAATTGCTGAGAAAGGAGGTCCTCAGACAGGGTTTTCCTGGATGGAAGATTGTACAGATTTTTTTTTTTTGCTTTGTATTTTAAGCCCTCCATCCTGTCATTTTGGCTGAGGTGCCTTTACCATGGACTTTGTGTATAGAAAGATGGATTAATTTTGATAATAGCATCTGGAACTCCACACTGTGAAACTCATCTGAATATTCAGATTGTCTGTGCTGCAGCTCTTGCATGTGTGAATTATGCAAAAAAGCACACTAAATGTGCAAAGCAGGCTCTTAAAAGGGGAAAAAAAGCAGTTGCTTTTTAAGCATTCTTGTCTAAGTGGTTGTTTAACAGGATCCTCTACTTCTGCGTTCTTTGCTGGGGATTCTTTTGTGTAGACAGACTGGATAAAATAATGTTAACCCACACAAAATAAGGGTCACTGCTGTGAGAGTCACAGGAGATCCATTGCTGTTTCAGCTTCACTTCTTGAATAGTTTATGCATAATTGTCTGCAGCAGGGATTTTTCTGTCTGGGTTGAAAAGATTCTCATACACGGAAACTTTTAGTGATGTGAACTATGATTTCAGAGACTCGCTGGAGAATTCAGGGCTGACAAAGATTCAAAGAGTAGCTATACTTCTGAATGTGCTTATTTTTAATCGTAATAACTTACTGAATAACTGTATTTGTATTATAAAAGAGCAAGTGCTCTTCTGTAGTGATTGGTGTAAGAAGCAATCCCTGCTTTTAGTGCAATTGAATGAAAGAGGAGGGAATTTCCTATTTCAAGATTTTGGGTACCACAGCAGCTAAGATTTATAGACATTTCTAGAGTAAAGAAACAAATGTAGGTGCATACACACACACCCACATACATGTATTTATCTCTAAGCTTAATACATATGAATATAACTATCAACTGATAACATGTTAAAAATATTGTGGTTGTCTATGCATTTTTTAAATGAAATGGAGTGAAATAGAGTTGTCTTTTTTAGTTTGGATCCTGTTCACATGCTTGAAATTGGATTTTTTGGATTTCCCCAGATTTGCATGCTTGCTCCTCTGTGTGCCTTCATACTAGACCACAAATATCTAAATCACTGGTATTTAACCCTTCCTAGGTCTGACAAAGGCCTCTCACTGCCTGCTATTCCAGTAAATAAAACTCATGGACTTGGTACCTGCCTTTCCTCTGAAGCTACCAAAGTCTCCACCTGTGTTTCCATCAAACACACAACATCTGTAAAGCAGGAGGTGTTACCAGGGAGGTTTTGTAGTCACTGCTTTCACAAAGGATATTCAGATCCTCCACTGGTCTTATTCAAAGGTTAGAAATGTTCATCAAGGCACCACTTGGACCTGTGCTTGTCATTCACAGCTTTCCCCCTCTCTGAGACCTTCCACTATGATCTTGGCACTGAGGGAGAACTGAAACACCAAGTGGAGTTCTCTGCTGTGCCTGGAGGAGCTGGAGGGGCATTAGTGTGGCACTGGAAATGCTGAAAGATGGAGTTTTCTTTTGTCAAGTGGCAAAGTATGAGCACACTCCTTGTTTGAAATACACATTTGGACTGTGCATTCTGAAGAACACTCTGTCTTTTGAGTCACATGGCCATTGCCCTGCCACAGGCAGTGGCTGTCAGAAACTAGTGGCATTCAGACTAAATTTAAAATGTCTGTTTTGTCCATTTGTTTTTATTGCTAGAGGGCAATTTTATTTCGATTAAAAATGCTATAACTTCAGTAACTGTAATTATTACCTTGAGAATTTTGTATATTCACTGAAGAATGGAAACACCAGCTGATGCCTGAAGCACCAGTTAAAAGAATATTATCTTACCCATGCAAATTCTGCTATCCACACAAGTATTTATCTACATGGTTTTCATGTGTACATTAATAATTGTGTTCTTAAACCATGCATAAAATATATTTCAATATATATATTCCAGCAGCGATGGCATGGTCAAAATAAGTGTTTCTGGTATTTGGAGCACTTAAGCAGCAGATATAACTTGCAGTCAGGGTTTTAAAAAAATTCTTGATGAATTCAATGTGCTTGAGAAGTGATGCCTTTGCCATGCTTCTAAGGTGTGCCATACAGATGAGGGAGGAGTCCCACTCCAGGCTGTCAGTGCTGTGGGAGCCCTGCAGGTTTCCTCCCACTGAGTCAGGAGCTCACCTGTGGCTGCCTGGGCCAAAGTGACTCCTTCCCAGTAATTTATGTTTGGCCTGAGGAAGATGTCTCCAGTGAGATAACCATTTTCCTGTTGGTTTTCCCCCCCATTTCATTCTTTTTTCCCTCTTTGTATTTTGTGGGATGCGCCCATGGAAGCGAAGCCTCTTGGCCTCACACCTCTGCTGTGGCAGATCTTGCCCAGTTATTGAAAGTCGTCTTTCAGAGTCCAGGAGCAGCTTCTTGACAGCCCTCTGGCCAATGACACAGTAAAAGACATCCCGTCTCTCTTTGCCTTTTGGCGAGGTGATAATGCAGCCCTGGCAGCACGGTCAGCATGCTCCTGTGGCTCTGCTGGCCCCAGGCTGCTCCCTGACGTGGTGCAGGCGGGCTGGGCCAGGGATTCGGCTGCTGCTCCCCCTGCCCAGCGCGTGTGGAGCAGCCAGCCCGGGACAGAGTGCTTCCGAGTGGGAAGCTTTTGCTGAGCGCTGCTTCTGTCCCTCTCCTGGGTCACTTTGGGTGCCTTCAGCTCTGCAGAGCAGTTTACATGCAGATAACAAGGTAAAAGCAGTTGTTTATTGGCTTGTGTATACAAAAGACAGCTTTGCTCCAGGTGTGAGGGTTACTCACATTACTGCCAAGTACATTTATTTTTTGTAGGACAAAGAATGCTTGAGTTCCTGTAGCAGATTCTACTAGCATCTGCTAGATTCTGCTTTATTTAAGAACAAATTTTAGCTTTAGGATTTACCATAAATACTTATGTAATTTATTTTCAGAATTTTGTTTGTCAAGAAATTATATGCAGAATTTATTTTTTCCTACAGTCTGCAGCTCATGATTCTTTACTTAACACTGATACTTGAGCTTTATTTTTCTGAAAAGTAGATCAATATCTTTCAATTAGAACACTTTTGCTTTTTTGTTACTGAGTCCTCTGCAGGGGTGAGCTGTTTCCATGTGACAGACCTCTTGTGGATTAAGTGGAAATCTGAAAAAGGTTATGAGATGGCTTTTAGAAAGAATATCCAGTTTCATTCAACACACTTTCAAGTAAAGATCAAAAAATCATTGGTAGCTCTTCCAGTCACTGAAATGAAGAGGTTGAGATGTGCAGGACTGCCCCAGAGCTACTTTTGCAACTTAACTAGGGCTGCACTACTGCTGAGACTCCTGAGTGTGACACACCTTTGAAAAGAGGGGTTTTCAGTCTTTGTTCAACAGTTTGCAGATTCTCTAATGTGGCTTCAAGTTCCCCCACTGGATTTCCACAGGTACAGGTAGTTTTACAGTGGCATGTCTGATAGACTAATTCTTGGTTTTCTTGCACCAAATGATGTGTGTGGTATGGAATACCCCTTTGGCTGATTCAGGTCAGCCATCTCAGCTGTGTCCCCGCCCAACCTCACTGTAGGCATGATCCTTGTTTCACATTAATTTATTCACAAAATTCTTGTCACTTTATGGCTGCGTTTTTCTCCTTGATTTTAAATCCCATCTTCTTCACCATTTCGGTGAAGTCAGTACCCTCTGAAGACCGTGTGTCACTAAATGCATGCCATAAGTCTGAAATATTAGCAGTTATTATTTGCAGTGCAGTGACACCTAAAGCTGTTGGTCAGTGTTGTGTCTAACCAGGGGGTGCTTGTTGGGATCACAATTAGCTGAAGCACCTGCCTTGGTTTGAGGACTATTGTCATTAAATCCTCCAAAACAAATACTCTTTAAGATAAATGATTACCTCAATATTAATGTGGTTAAGACTAATTCCAGAATGCAGGTTTAGTTCATTTTAGGGAATAATGTAATGCAGATGCAATTTTCTAAATGTGCCTTTTAAAAAAAGCATTGTACCTTTTCCCATAGCTTTTTCTTTGTGATACAGAATGAGCTGTGCATTTTAAAATGTGGGACTTTCAGCTTCAGCTGAGCTCGTTGACTGTCTCTTGCTTGCACAGAGTTGAAGGAAACTCAATATAGAGAGGAGTGACTTAAAAAAAATATACTACATTAAAAAAGATAAAAATAAAAGAACAAGTAAGATCTGGAGAGCACCATGTATAAGATTAAAGGAAATTTAACAACTTCTCAAATATATGAAGAATACTACAAGAGGGAAGTCAGCAAAATATTTTCTGTCATGTCCAAAAGAAAAAAAAATCCAATATTTAAATAGAATCGAAGAAAGTTCATGTTTTAAGAGGAATGTATGTCTGAGCCACTGAAATAGATTGTCCAGTAAGGATTTGCCATCTCCACTTGACATAAATATGCCAGATTTCCAAGTACTGTACCACAATTTCAGATGTTACCTGCAGTTTTACTGGCCAGTGTTGATTTCTAAAAGAAATTTGTTCTAAAAAGTTGCCTGTGCCACACCACTGCTTTCAAATGGTCTGTGTGGAGTGGCAGAAACAGAGTTTCCTTGGAATTTGGTGCAGAAATACCTTGGAATGCAGACTTCACAGATGTATGGATCATTTTCCACAGGCAAGGAGTGCAGTGTTATTCAGCCCTGATAATAAATGATTGGCTGCTGTTTAAACCAGACTAAATGTGAGGAGAGATTGAGACATGACTTGGATGAGCTGGCTGATTTCTCAGAGTCCTTCCTTGCCTGTTTTTCACAACTCTGTAAACACAGAGCTTGTAAACTTTGAAAATTTGTTTTGGAATGAACAAAAGCTTCAGAAATCAGCTAGGTTTTTGTTTACTACCCTGCAGATGCAGATTATTAATGGTCACCCCCTTTACTGGGTTTGGTTTTTTTACAGGTCTGTTCACAAACTTGGATAAAATCACCTTTTTCCCCATTTACCAAGAAGTTTGTCATTCTGTTTGTCTTAGGGCTTAAATGTCTGGTTATTTCTGAGGTACAGACTGTAGTTAATATTAGTAACAGTGAATCACAGGATAAATGCATTTATTTTTTCTGTGACCTTAAAAATATGCAGCATCTGTTGCTTAAAAGCAGGTGTGGGCACAGTTGTGTGGAGTTCTAGAAATCACTCATGTTAAGGATCTGTATGTGTTGTTTGTGCGTTTATGTTTATATTTATATGAGTGCCCTGAAGTCTGATCAACTAAAATGAATTCAAAACAGCAATATATTATTTTTAAAATATAAACAATTATTTCATAGGAAAACAAATCTTTGTGTTATGTCCTATCTTCATGAGAAATTTGTGTAATGAAAAAGATGGATTTTAATTTTTACATTTTTTCTGTACTAAGGTTTCCAATTGTTTTGAATTCATCAGTTATTTTATTTCATGTGGATTTAGATTCCCTTTTAAAACAAAATAAAAATTCAAGACTATCAAGCTGTCTTTAAAGCAAATTCAAGGCCTTCTTCCCCACATCTGATCCTCTCAGTGAGACTGTTATTATAATTCAGCCAAATCTGAAGTTGTTTTTGTGAGAGACGAAATACCCAGTTACTTTGTTCTGTTCTTCTCTAGAATTCTCCATAGCAAACTACTGGCAGGTTCTGCCAGTGCAATTTAAAATAAGGGAGGAATAAATACAGTAAGTAGGAAGTCAGTGGGAAAATGAGAGGAATTTTTATGGGCAGTGGATTTAGCTGATGGGAAGTGTTGGCTGTTGGCAGTGAGGGCTGTGCCTGGCTGGCACTGACTGCAGCTCTATTGACCCCTGGGGGCTGAACTTGGCTTGGGCCTGGCCAGGTTTGCCCAGGAATTTGGGGTGGCTGGGGAGAGCCAGGCCCCCTCCCCAAAATGGCACCCACTGTCCCCCTGCAGGCCTGGGGCTGCTCCAGCCCAGCTCCAGTGTGCTGCTTTTCCACTCCTCAGCTGGGGGAGGGCTTCAGCCCCTTTATTCCCAGCTGAGTCCTGCAGTGACACCACTGTCACCTGAGGGAAGCAGCAGGAACTGGGTACTTGTGTTTAACTTGCAACTTTAGCAGCTTTGTGTTTTACTCCTCGTTTATTGTCCTGTCTGGAGCTGTTTCCTGATGGAGAATACCAGAATAATAATGGGGTGTGTAAATTAGATCCTAAAGCCTGTTCTCTACTCAGACATACATTAAGACCAGACACATGCAAAGAATTTATATTTGTTTAAAGCACATTGGAAATGTATGATAATGGCTTTTACAGGTTTCTGAAGTCTGGAGATTTTGTCAAGATAAACACTCCAACAAGACTCATGTGCCAGCCAGGAAGAAGTGTTCAGTGCAGACTCTTCCCTGAGTGCTGAATGAATCTTTGCCACACTGACTAAGGATTGTTAGTATGGGAACTGGCTAATCTGCTTTTATTCCTGGTGTGAAGAAACAAGAGCTTTGCTGGTTGTTAAGGGTTTGTCATTATTGCAGAGCAAAATAAAAGTAATTTTTACAAAACACCCTAACAAAAAAAATCTTCAAAAAATTTAACCTGTGTGAGGCACAGTTGGTTTTTTAGATGATCTCAGTAACTGCATAGTTGTAGTCAGTTTGCTTCTGTGTAAAGACAGCAGTGCCACAATAATTATGATGTGTTTTATCTGGTTTCAGGTTGGTACAGAGGTGTTTCCATTAAGAAGCCCAGTGTCAAGGTAAGCATGAATACATTTGTTAATCTAATGGCAGATTAAGTCTATTTTACTCTTACAATCCAGTAAACTTTTTGTTTTCCTTCTCTAACTTTTTTCCTGTGAGAGGATTGGATTTCTTTTTAAATTGAGTGGTACTCATTAATCACTCAAAGGATCAGAAACCTTCCTGACATGTAATATGGAATTTTTTCAACATTTATAAATCTCATCCAGTTTGATCCTCTCCACCCTACTCCCCTAAGAAAAGCATAGGTGGGTGATATTGCATTGCTTAAATGCAGCATTTTAAAGAACACATTTAATAAGTTGAATTATTAATCTAAGACAACTTTGAAAAAAGTCTGTTGAAAAAGGATTTTGTAAGTTTTTGGGAGTGGTTTCCGATTTTTTGCAGTTTAACCATTTGATTTGGTTATTTGCCATTTTTTTCCCATTGTTTTTACTCTTGGAGAATGTTTTTGACGGTTCTGGTATGATTGTTTTTGTGAGGACATGTAAGTTTTTTTAAGTGTTTATATCCAAACATGCTAATAGGTGCTTCTATATGAGCTTCACTTTATTATCTGTTGCTTTAAATATTGCTTGCATTTAAAGAGAGGAGTACCTGATTCCTCATGTTTACCTAATGCCTATGTATTATGGAATATAAAATTATCTGTATTACATTGTCATGACTATAATACTCTTTTAATGAAATGTCTGCAGTCATTGTATGTGTTGGTACTTCTCTGTGTGTATATTCAGTTTTGATAGGAGAGCCCTTCAAACCTTCCCTGGTTTCTTAGATACCAGAAATAAGCAGCATTAACTAGAAGTGAACCAAACAAGGAAGTGAAGTAGCATTTCTTTTCTTCCTGGATTTTCATGTGGCTGAAAGCAAGCACATTTACTGTTTTCCTGATGAAGCCATTCCTCTTAGATTCAGCTTTTTTCCTTCTACAATTTTAGTCTTGCCTATGAACAAGAAAGAATTTTCCTTAGCATTTGGAATCTTATGTACTTAATATTCCTTTCAACCTGCCCCCCCACCCCAGAAATTTTTATTTCAAAATGTTGTGGTTTTAAAGCTCTAAAAAGTGAAAGCCCACACTTGATTGCTGACATTTTTGTCAGAGGCTGTGAGCTGGTTTTTAATCCAAAGATTTCCAATGCTGCCTCTGTATTTCCTACTGAAGTGCAGGTTGCTGTTCTTACACAGTGACAGACTTTGCTGTTAGGATTCAGGCAGGGCCATGTGCTTTACAGAGGATGTGGAACACTGGGAAGAGGTTGGATTAAATTACCTCTTTTCCCCATGTCTCAACACACAAGAGCACACTGGCACAGGCAAGGTCGGAGTCCAGCCCTCATGGGAACAGTAAAAGACAAAAATCTGGAGGTGTCCCATGTAGGTTTGAACAGCTTTTCCTTGGAAAGGGAGAAAAACTGACAGCTCCAGGGTATGCAAGTAATAGAATACTTCGGTCCTTGGGGTTTCAATGCAAATTTGGTGGTGGGCTTTTAGTTTTTGTTTAATTTGTCTTTTTAAGCCTCTATCTGTGTCACTCCTCACCAGCATCAGCCTGCTCTGGGAGCTGCAGGTGCTGTGCTGCAAACTGCAGAAGAGCCACTTTTCTGACCTTCCCAGGTGGAGGTTTGGTCCAGTGTGGTGTCCTGGTCTAAGACAGACTAAACCAGCCAATTGTTACTAATCTGAATGTGGAGTTTTGACTGGCAGCTTTGACACAATTGTTGTTTGGGGGGTTCTTAATGTGTATATTGGCAGTTATTTATTGTGGCCTGGGTTACCAATGCTGAAAACTGCAAATGTACTTTTCTAACGGACAGAATTTTTTCTCTTGCAGGGGATATTTCCTGCAAATTATATTCACTTGAAAAAGGCAATTGTCAGTAACAGAGGGTGAGTATTTTTCCTTCTTTTTAAGAAGCTACAGTGCTTTTTGTCTAGAAGGGAAACAAAGAAATAATTATTGCAACTTACAGAGATGTTTTAGGTCATTGTATCTTTTTTTGTGTGTAATGGCTTGAAAATTAAATGTAATTTTACAGGGTTGGGGAGGGTGGCTTGTTTGTTTTTAGTATAGCAAGAATCAGGTCTGATGGCTGATGGTTACTCTTGTTTGCTTTGGCTCATAAAATTGTAACTTTAGAGGTATCATCTGAAATGCATGCATTTAAAGAACTCTGCTTATATTCTTCCATTTCTGCTTGTTCTCTCACTGGCAAAATCCTGTATTTTCCTATTTGTTATGGAGACACCAGTCAGTAGACAGCCCATTTCATTTACCTACAGATTTTCAGAGTCATAGCTGTGTTACCTTGAATGTTTTCCAAAGGATCCAGTCCTCCCCACCTCACCCAAAGAGTGACTGAAGAGCACTGCTGAAAACTTCTGCCCTTCTCTTTGTTTGTATTCATGTGTTGCTGGCTGTGGGTTTATTTCAGTAATGTGAATAACAACACTGGTGGAAATGTCATGTCAGGGAAGTTACTGACAGGGGACTCTGGAACCTGCAAAGTTTCCTGTGAGATTGACTGAGACTCCTGAAATCAATACCTTGTGTTTTCACTGCTGCTTTTACTTGCATATTCCAGATAAAGGCTGCTGTGGGGAGATTTATAATTGCAGTGTTTCAGACAGTGACCTGAGGCAACAAATTAAATGTGGAAGATAAAATGTATTAAATGGCACTTAGTGAACTACCTGCAGAAAAACAGGTGACTTCTGGTAGTCTTGAATTGTAGATTTGTTCCCAAAGGGAACAGGGCCTCAGTAAGGGCAGCTGTAATAGTGATGCTTCATAATTTTAAGGTGTAATAAAATGCTGTATATTGCATAGAATAACCACTCCTAATGTGTACTTCCCTTAGGGGAAGGAGCAGTTCCCTATGATGTGTAGTTAATTAGTCCTTGATGTTAGTTTAGAGTTTGTGAAGGGCAACCAGTTCAGGTACTTGCTGGGAAAGCTGATACACTGTTTAAAAGTATCAAATCCTCATGCACCAATTGACACAACAGAATATAATGCAGTTCTGAACCAGAGGGGCGTGGTTATTTCCGGTTTTGTTTGAAAATTCTTTATTTCAGAATATATTTCAAGTGCCATTTTAAGCACCTGTGAAATAACAGAGCATGTGTTGAAGCTGGCAAGTAGCGAACACCACTCAGCCGCCTGCTCACTGTCTCTGCCCTCTCCAAACATCCCTAGAGACTTACAGGGACTGTCCCCAGGGCTGGAGCACCCCTGCTGTGAGGACAGGCTGGGAGAGGTGGGGTTGGCCAGCCTGGAGCGGAGAGAACGCTGGATAGAACTGCTTGTGACCTTTCAGCAGCTAAAAGGGGCTTGTAAGATGATGGGGACAGGGCTTTTGGCAGGGTCTGGAGGAATCAGGGGATGATGGGGTTACATTTAAGGAAGACATTTTAGGCTGTGGGTAGTGAAACCTTGGCATAGTTTGCCCAGGGTGGTGGGGGCTGCCCCATCCCTGGAAGTGTTCAAGGCCAGGTTGGATGGGGTTTGGAGCAACCTGGGACAGTGGAAGGTGTCCCTGCCCATACCAGGGGGTGGAATGAGATGAGCTTTGAAGTCCCTTTCAGTCCAATCCACTCTTGTTGTTCTCCTTTAATGGTTTTGGAAAATCTTTACCATGAAGGAACAAGTTTTAGTCTTTTGATTAAAGGATAGATCCCTCAGATTTCATCTGCAATGTTGAAAAAGCTTTCTGGATAGATCATATTAGTAGACAGCAAGTATTTTGAGTAGTTTTGATATGGGCTAACATTACTGGAGGGGGGGAAAAAGGGGTGGACTGGCTTAAGAAAGGGATCCAAATTGTGAAGGACCCCACTTCACAGCCAAGTTAATTTAACATGCTGTAGTAATGAAAACTTTTAATTGACCTTGATTAGAGTGAAAGTATGTATTTTGAACAGGTAATCAGGAAATGCTTCATATAAGCTTAATCTTGTGGAATGTAGTGGAGGAACAGTAGCTGTGACTCTGGAGTTGCTTCAGTTTTACAACAGACAAAATGATCCCCTTAAGATATTCTCCTGATGTTGAACAAATTCAAGTCCTGGAATTACTATACAAGTCCTACAAATTACTGCACTGTCACATTTCTTTTTCTACCTTTTCCAGGGTACATTTCCTAATTTCTTCTCTCTTTTTCTACAGGCAATATGAAACAGTTGTTCCTCTTGAAGATTCTGTGGTGACTGAAGTCACAGCGACGCTGCAGGAATGGGCTGTGCTCTGGAAACAGCTGTATGTGGTAAGAGCAGTGCTCCTCTCCTTGCACATCTCTAGTACCCTGGGGAATTGTTACCTGCCTTTGTGCATTCAAAATCCATCAGAATCAATATCAGAATTGTTGGACTCCTTGTATTTAATGGGGGCTCCCTAACTGCAGAATAATGGATCATGCGAGAGTCACATGGAGTACACTAGAACTTTCTGCAGTTCTGAAATTCTACCTTCAGATCTGAAAATTTTATTGTTATAAGAAAAGGCAACAATTTTAAAGTGCTATTAAGTATGTAAGAAATAATATATTATAATACTTCTTCAAGTCCCATCAAAGACTTCAAAAATTATTCAGCACAGTTTGTAAGTAGTTGTTTCAGTGTCTAGAGTCTGAAAGAAGAACTCGGACTATGAGAGGTTTTGTACAATTGTTCCTCCATAAATTAGAAGTAGACATTAGGATAAGTGTATTGAGTTTTATACACATCTTTTTTTTTATATAATTTTCAGTTGCTGCCACATAATGTCTCATACTTCTGCTTTCATCCCTCTTCTTTTCTTACATTTTAATAGCCAAAGCCCATGACACAGCAGATAAAAAACTTGAGCATTTGAAGGTATTTTTTCCTGGCTTTTATTTTTTCTTTTTTAGCTTAGTAATTGCAAGCCTTCACTGTAGGATTAGGATCAAGAACTGTAGGTGATCTAAGCTTGCATTTCCTTCCTGTCCTTCCTTTTGAGAAATACCTCTACACAGAGCTGCAGGAGCTTTGTTTCCTTATTTAAACCTGCAGTGACAACAGTTACATGTCTAGGAAACCAACCCAGGAATGATCCAGTGGAGTGAGTCCAGTGCATCTCCAGCATAACCAGCTGTGTTCTGTGCTTCAAAAAGCAATCAACTCTTATGAAATCACAACTGGTCCCAGTTCTTCTGTGGGGTCAGATGTCCCTGGAGGTATTCTCTTGGGAAGGAGCATCTGACCTAATGGAGGAGGGGCACGAAATGTGGTTTATGTCATGTTTTATACCACTCTTTACACCTAGTACTCCTCCTTTTTCCATTGTACACACATACCTCTATGGATATGGGAATAAAGTGATCTTTTCTGTTTTCTTCCTGTAAGATTTTTTTTTCTTCCTCTCTCCCCAGTGTCAGCTGAAGATGACAACAGTAATATTTGCAATGGTATTAAATTGGAAAAAGGGGAATAATTTTACCTACAAATGAGCTAAGCTTCCTTTCTACTAAAGTATTTCTTTTTTATTGTTAACACCAGTTCCTTGAGGGGAAGGAGAGAGAAAGCTCTAGCTATAAACTTTCATTTAGTGATTTTTCTTTCTGGGACTCCTTTCTATTGTAGCTCATTATATTTCTTATAACATTGCACAAAACATTATTGTGTTCTTAAATAACAGGGGAAAGAATTTACTGTTCTCATAGAACTTTGGAAGGAGGCATCTGCTCCATGATGAAGAAATTGGCAGAGCTTCTGAGTAAAAAACACATTGTTTTGTGTTGTGGGGTTTTTTTCCAAAAACTTAGGAAAAATTAAAAATTCTAATATAGAAATAATCACAGAATTGTTTAGATTGGAAGAGACTTCTTGAGATCATCAGCTGCCTTGTTAAGCAGGGTCAGCAAGACCAGGCTGACAGGACTGCACCAGCCAGGTTTTGAGTTCCTTCTGGATGGAGACTCCTCAGCCTCCCTGGGCCAAGCTGCCAATGTTTGAGCACCTTCAGTGATTTCTTATCTCCACTGATACAGTACCACAGCTTTTCTGGCAGACCAATTTACACCATTGTTAAAGGGGTAACTGATATTTGTCCCATCTGTGGGCTGTACATTGGAAGCCTGAGGAAATGCACTGAGGTACCTGTGGCAGAGCTGGGACTAGAATTTGATCCTTGGTGTTCAGGCTGGAAGCTGTGTAAGGACATACCTTAAAATATATTGAAAGACTAAATGGAAATACTTGTTTGTTGTTGGATCAGCAGCAGCAGCAGAAATTTTTATTATTCCCAAACTGTAATAAGAATTCATCTAAGAAATGTAATTAATGTTATTTGTCATGCTGCTGTGCCTAGTCAGCTTTGTAGAAATGTTTCTTACTGTAGGGGAAATTCAAGTGCTGGCTGTTGCACAGACACTCTCAGTAGGTCAGTGCCTGCAAAGGGCCCTTCACTGGTCAGTGGGGCTGCCAAACAATGTGAGCAACCTCTCTGAACATCTCTAAATAGGCTCAAATGTTCATCTCATGCTTTTTGGTGAACTCCCTACCTGGATTATGGTTTGAAAGACCAAGTTTGTTTCAATTAAAAATTGCCAGCAATTATCTTGGTAGTATTGTTGAGGTGCATTGTAAGGTTTGTGTTTGTCTCTCAGTGGAACAATGGGAGCTGGAATGTAATACCCAGGAAGCCTGCAGTGATTAAAACACTGCCTGGAGAGGGATGCTATGTTGTTCCAAGATAAGGAAGTTCTGCTGACAGAAAATTGGAGGGAGGAGGAGAACAGTGAGAAATGAGAGGGGGTGAAGGATAGCACAGCTTTGAGACAGTTGCAGAAAATTAGTTGGTGTAAAATATTGGGAGTCTTCCTCATTTTCTTCTGACCACAGAGAGCCCATGCCAGTACTGGGAATAAACTGTGCGTGGGGAAGCTTGAATGGGTTTGAGTTACAGGAGTTGTGCAGCAATTTTAGTTTAGATTTCTGAGAAATGCATATTAGAAATGTTAGCCTGAGATCATTTCATTGCATAGGGCTGTGATATTCTTTAAATTTTTGCTATCAAGGTGAAAGCCAAGTTTCAGTCTGAGGAGAAAAAGGCATTTGTCTGTAATGAGTTCACAGAGAAAGGGCTGTGCCTGAAATGAATTTGAAATAGAAAGATGTATGATGTTTTGTTTGCTTTACTGTGATAACCAATTATGCTCTAAGTAGTTGGATTCTGATCATATAACTCTTTGAATAGTGACAAAACAGCAAGTTTTTTTTTTTAAATGCCAGAGGTTTTTTTCAATTGGAAAGCAATATAAATAAAACTTGGATGGAAACTATCAGAATCTGTTATTTATATTGGATGGAATTTTTAGCAAAAAACTATAACCTTGATAAAAATTCTATGCCTACTTAAAAATAATCTATTTTTAAATAGATGGAGCAATCAGGAATAGAACTTAAATATTTATTTTTTAATAAAGGAGTAAAGATGATAGTACTTTTATTGTTCTGGGGACAGACTTTTTAGCAGGGCCCATAGCAATAGGACAAGGGGTAATGGTTTTAAATGAAAAGAGGTCAGATTCAGACTAGATACAAGGAAAAAGAATTGTACTGTGAGGGTGGTGGGGCCCTGGCACAGGGTTCCTGGAGAAGCTGTGGCATACCCATCCCTGGAAGTGTCCAAGGCCAGGTTGGACAGAGGCTTGGAGCAACCTGAGACAATGGAAGGTGTCCCTTCCCATGGCAGGGGTGGAGCTGGCTGAGCTGTAAGGTCCCTTCCAACCCAAACCATTCTGTGATTCTATGTGAAGAACACATTTTCCCCTATTTCAATATGTAATCTGTATGCAGACAAGGCAATGTCATGCCACTGGAAAATGGAAAGCAGTTCTTTGCCTTCTGATCTGTATCCAGGCTGTATCCTGTATCCAGGCTTCAGACATGAGCACTGACGTAATGAGATTTAGTAGCTACTTTCTGGCAAAAAAAAGCCACTGTTCTATTTGACCTACTTGGTTTGTTTTTTCCTACTTTCACTGCTGTTGTAAAAATCATTAGGAGAGAATTCACTGTGAGTGTGGATCTCGGTGTTTAAAATCTATTCCATGTAGCCACTGGAATTGCTGGTAATGTGGGTAGGGTTACTGCTAACCACAGCTGGCCAGATGTGTGTGTGTTTGTGTGTGTTTGCACACACTCATGTATTTGAGTACTGTCAGTAGGTGCACTGACCCAGTATCTTGTGGTTTTGTTTTGCCTGGCTCCAATACTCTGTTGTTCTTTAGATTCATTTGGACACCATAACTATCTTCTTCTGTGAAAGCCTAAGAAATTTAGAAGAGGGTTTTACTTATTGTTTCCCAGTATTGCAAAGCCAATAAGCAAAAGATGCCAGTGATTCCCTCCCCCAGTCCTGCACTTAATTTGGAGTGGAGGAGAAAGGAAAAGTGAGATTATTAGTGTAGCACTGTAAGCAGCTGAGCCTGTTCTTGTGCCTACGCCGAAGGGACAAGGAAAAGAGCAGAAAAGCAAGAAAAAACCTTGGGGAGACTTGCTTAGGCACAGAGGTGGATAAAGATGCAAAATTGCGTTTGTTACAGTGAAATGGGTGTGTGCAGCTCTTGGCTAGTTACCCATGTCACTCTACTCCTGTTGAGACAGCAAAATTATACCAGTAAGGTTGTTAACTTTCTCTCTTACCCTCTATGTGTTAAGATTTGTTATTTTTGTACTACTTCTAAATAAAGGATCTGCAAGTTCTCTGTAAGCTTTTGTTAATTAGGTCAAACAAGACTCCTGTGAGTTTTTAAGTCAGCTAAGGAGATCACTGAAACTCACTGTTGGTGCACAGTAGCTATTTTAACTGTAAAAAAAAATTCCTCGGAGTCTAAGATGTGATGTGAGGACTATTTCTGTTGAGAGAGCAGATGACTGTGGAGAGAGCAAATGTAATTGCCTAATTTAGAGTTTGGTCAGATCAATAACATTAATTTGCTACTTTTATAGGAATAAAAGTAAGGGGGAGTGGGGGATGTGTGGGGTGACTTCTTGTCCACTTTCAGGAGTAAGACCTAATGGTGTAGGGAATAGATGGAATTTTTGCCAGCTCAGTGTGAAACCAATTTCTCATTGGCTTCTTTTAAATTTCCTGAGGGATCCTATTAAGGAACAGAGTGGGTAGCAGGACTTGGTGCAATTGCAGCTATGTGATTTGGGTGGTTTGGGTGTCCCTAAAATTGAAGCACTAGTTAAAACTCATCTTGAAAAATGCCATTCACTGAATCACTAAGGTAGTTTA